CTGAATGGCGAAGGCTCTGCTGCTGGTTTGTGTGTGTGTGTGTGTATGTGCCGCTCCCATGGGGTGATCACAGCCGAGCTGCGGGGCTTTTTTACTGTGGGGAAAATGGTAACTGCGGTGCAGCAGTGGAGATCGTAGAATCACAGGATGGTTTGGATTGGAAGGGACCTTAAAGATCATCTAGTTCTAACACCCTGCCACAGGCAGGGACACCATCCACTAGATCAGGATGCTCAAAGCGCTATCCAACCTGGCCTTGAAACAATGATCCAAATGATAAGTACAGTTCTAGTGCCTATGGAAAGGTGGGGGCTGCTCTAGTCTTTTGTTTGCTTGTAGAAACAAATGCTTTAAAATCATCCTTCTGTGGCAGTTGTTGTGTTCTGCAGAGACAGGTACACTCTGGAAACGGAATGAGATTTTGAGAGACAGTAATTAAACACTTTTGATCCAAATTGACCCCTCCTAGTTCTCCAGCAGCAAATAAAAAGTGACAAGTGCTGCAGCAAGGGAGTAGTTAGTAAAAGGAGAATTCACGGCACCTGGGGATGAAGCCTTCAAGATGTTGTGTGGTTTATTTGTTCAGTATCACATTTGTGAGTTGGAATGTTTGCAATCAACAAGTGGCAGAGTGCTGCTACAGCAGATGCAGGGCTACCAAGTGGTCAGCTCCTCTAGAGCTGTGGGTTTATCAACTCCAGATCCGCTTTTAGAGAAAACGCACTTGTTCTCAAAGCAGAGCTCTGTTTAAGTGCTTGTGTTAGTTATTCCTTCATGTTGCGTATTTGCATTTCAAGCACTTCGAAAGGTGTAAAACTGAAAAATGAAAGCATCATCCCTTCCAGGAAAAAAAAAAAAAAAAAGTATGGCCTGGAGATAGCTGAAACCAAGAACCATTTATTTGGTAAAAATGATGTTAAATCACAGTAAGTCAGGAAACCTACAACCTACCTGAGACTGTTTGCTCTACAGCCTGTCTTGTCCAGGTTGATGTTGGATGATGGTGGTGGCATCTCTGTCTTCTACCAAGATTGTCACTCTGCCTTTTCTGTTGTGAAGAAGGGGAAAGAAGAGATTTTTCAGCCATCTTGGTTGAACTCTTGGATGACAAGGGATTCTAATTTAAGAGGACAAAGAAATCCTATCTGCTCTGAATAGCTAAGAAAAAAGACCAGGAGATGGAATTTGAATAAGTTTTGAAACAATTAATTAATTACTATTTTTGCCTCTTAGCTTTCATACCTGGACTTTAAATTTTTCTTAAAGAAGGAACTTCTGCAAGCCCAAGATAAACTTCAGTTGATGTTTTGGGAGGGACTCACAGTGAAGTAGGACTGTTGTTCTGTTGAGTGCCTGAAACTGGCTGCAGGCATATCTAGGACAGTTATTAAAAGATTATAGGTGGCACCTTTTTGGCTTTATTTAATATGAATGTAGGTGAACATTTTTCTAGAAGGAAGTCTCCCTCCAAATAAATTTATTTATTTGAAACAAACAAAACAAAACAACCAACACAACAATCCCCCCTCCTTTATGTGGCAAAATGTTCAAATGCATCTCTGCATGACATACTCAAAGAGTTTTTAGGAATTTCTTTTAAACTGTTGAGGTGAGATACCATTTCTGTCTTTCTGGGTATACCAGTTGATCAATATTTTAGGCTTGGCGCTAGTTGTTTTTTACTAGCAACAATGTCCAGAATTTTCTTTAGAAGAAACCTAAAGACAGGGATAATATCCTGTCTTTGAAGTTAACTGGAAGCTGCTAATAACATAATTGAGACCTTCCCTCCCCACACCCTCCCTGCAGCAGGCAGCTATTGTGTGCACAAGAGCTGTCCAAAAGTGTCCTGTAGAGACCTTATGGAAACAATGCACTAAATCTATTCAGCAGCTGTGTTTTGAAGGAAAAAGAAGAGGAGGGGAAAAAAAAAAAAAAAAAAGAAGAGGTCATAGATGTTCCTTTCCAGAGAAAACTTTGGTAAAGGATGGAATACAGAATATTAATAGGACCTGCAAAGAAACAACTGTACTAACTCAAACCAGACCTGACTGTTATCTACCTACCTGGTTAAGTCAAGCTTTTTGAAGATTTGCTTGCTCATCCTCTGTCACATAGCTCAGTTCAAGACATGGCTTACACCGCTTGTGATCACTGATCAGGAGAACATGACAAGTGACTTTTTCCACCATTGGGATTTTTACTTTTTTATTTTAGTTTTTACTGGTAAAATGGCTGCTAATGCAGATTACAATCCAGCACAGCTACCAGCCCAGTTATTGTATCTGCAATTTTTGACTGGTATACAAACATTTCTAGTAGCTTGGATTTGGCCTAGACTGTGAACTAGTTTTTAGAAAATGATGCAATGTAGAACTGTTTTTCTTTTTTTTATAGAATGAAACAACAAAAAAGGGCTGTAGAGGGTGGAAGGAAGATTCTGTTGGACAAGCAAGTCCAGCATCCAAGTGTGCTTTATTCACCCTCTTTCACCCATTACTGTACTTGTAATATTTTCCTTTGCAGCTGTTTGTGTATTTAAGCTATTGGGGATATCAGTCCTACCCTATCAATCAACCTCGCTCCACTGGAAGATCTAGCTAGCCAATTGATCTCTAGAGCAAGCAGACTTTCTGTACAAGTTTTATTATAACTACATGTTTTCTTTTTTTAATGTCAAATTGAGTAAATCACTGCAAATAGAAGTTTAAGGTCTGTCCTCACATAACACGCCTAATTTAGTCTGTCTGCTGCTCACGCCGCTATCCTCCATATAGGAACAATTGTTCTCAGCAGCAGCTAAATAAATGGAACATAACTTCATACCTATGTTTGTATGATTACAAGGAACACTAGAGCTTTCTCAATTTATGAAAGAGACCATGTATCTTAAAATTAGGTAGGAATTGTTCTCCTGGTTCTTCAGTGCTTTTTAAGATTCTCACTCCTCCTGCGGCTGTGTTTGTACTCCTGTAACCCTCTCTGAGCATTAATGGACAATAGCACAAGGTCGAATTTATATGAATTGGCTTTTCTCTTAACAAGCATTTGTCTCTCAGAGCTGCCTGACATATAATAGGAAGCATCAGATCCCCTCTCAGCTTTGGGTTTCATAGAACCATAGAATAGTTTGAGTTGGAAGGGATGTTAAAGATCATCCAGTTCCAGCCTCCTTGCCATGGGCAGAGACACCTCCCAGTAGACCATATTGCTCAAGGTCCCATCCAGCCTGGCCTTGAACACTGCCAGGGATGGGGCATTCACAGCTTCTCTGGGAAATATGTTCCAGGGCCTCACCACCCTCACAGTAAATAATTTCTTCTTGGCATCTAATCTAAATCTACCCTCTTTCAGTTTAAAGCATTCCCCCTTGTCCTATCACTATGTGCCCTTGTAAAAAGCCCCTCTCTAGCTTTCTTGTAGGTTCCTTTTAGGTACTTGAAGGCTGCTATAAAGTCTCCCTGGAGCCTTCTCTTCTCCAGGCTGAACAACCCCAGCTCTCTAAGCCTGTTTTCACAGGAAAGGTGCTTCAGCCCTCTGACCATCTTCATGGTGCTGCTTGAGCATATACACGTCCTTCTCATGTTGTTGGCCCCAGGGCTGAATGCAGTACTCCAGGTAGAGCAGAGTAGAGCAGCAGAATCACTTCCCTCAACGTGCTGGTCATGCTCCTTTTGGTGCAGGATATGGTTGGCTTTCTGGCCTGCAAGCTCACATTGCCGGGTCATGTTGAGCTTCTTCAAGTTTGTTCAACTGAGCTGAGTTATAATCCTCTGTAAAACACCTCATTCTTTGTAGATTTTATGATCATATATAAATCATATTTCTTCACCATGGATGTTAAGAACTCTGCAACCAGAATTCACAGGACTGTCTGCACTTCTGCAATTAATTTGCACATATGCAGTGGCCATGAGTCTGCAAATCACTAGCTTTTTATGGGGCTGGCTGATGTTCAGAAGATGTTTTTTTGTAGAATCAGTATTTCGTTATCCAAAGCAATAGCATTGCCAGGTATGGCATCATGTATCTGATCCAGATTCTTCACGTGATGCAAGCTGAAGCAGCTCCTTTCACTTCACTGATACTAAAAATGACTTATCCTAGCAGGAGATCTGGCTGTCTTTTTTTGCCTTTGATGTGTTTCTCATTAGAAAGGATTTATGTTGCATGGTTCATTTACTGCAGGTGAAATTCCCATCTCCCCTGTTCTCCAACCAAATGCAACTTTGCATTCCTGTCTAGGAACACTGCCCTAGACTTGGTGAAATGAAAATGCCTGACGGTGGATAAAACATAAGGGAAATGTACAAAGGAGTATACGGAGCAATGGATTAAAGTGCATTTGCCTGCTGGAGCTAGTGTTTATCCTTCCTTACGCAGCTCAACAGCTCGTGCGCAACTGGTGGCTGTGAGCCAGCCTGGCGTGTGTCGCTATGGTTCTAGGTTGGATTGCTGTTATGGCTGGAAAAAGAACAACAAGAGCCAATGTGAAGGTAACATTAACACTTTATGTTTGTTTCCTCTTCATGACTGTGTATTTAATATTAATAAGGAGATTTCATGTATGTCTGACAGAAGTTACAGAAAGAAACCTTCTGAGGAGTAAAGTCTCTTAACTCTGTAAGAAAGTGTATAAAATACGTTTGAGACACCTTCTCCTCAAAAAAGCAGTGGTTTGTGTAAATAACGCCAAACCATAAAAGACATATTTAAAAATTCTTTGGTCCAAAAGGGACCACTTGTTCTCACCCCTTGTGCAGCCCTGATCAGGGCCTGTACCGTTACAGCTCTGAGCAAGTGCCAAAAATGCAGTGTTTTCTAATGCTACATATGGACTCCTAAAAATGTTTTTCTCTCAGCTGGTATCCTTTATCTTCAGAGTACACAGCCTCTGAGAACCTGGAGGTTTTACTGTTTTAAAAATACAAACAAAAACCAAGCAGTAAGTGCACCTGTCTTCGGCTTGGTGAGCTGGCCAGCGCCCTGCTCTGTGGCTTGTTGGCTTAATGAAGAGTCAATGACTCTTAGAACATTTCTAATTTGTAAAAGGTCTATAGATCCAAAGGAGAAGGTGATGTGGAATCTCTCTCTTGCTGTACTTGGGCAAAATACAACAAAATCATAAAATATATGTTTTAGGAATCTTTTTCAGATTTTGCACCTGTTGTCCCAGAATGTTTGGCATTGTATATCTGGTGAATTTGAATAAAGCTTAGAGTTATTCATTGCTGAAAACCTACATAGTGGTATCTAAAAGGGAAACATGCCAAAATGTCTCTGCTCTGTATATATATATATCATGTCATTTAAAAAAAACCCAAAAAACTAATTAATACTTTTATTAATACTTCTGTATTGCTTAGTAGCACCTTTGTTTTGATGCAGATAAATACCTGGAGGAAAAACTGGCAAATATAACTTTGATCAGCCAGTGCAGAAGGTTGTCTTGTTTTAAAGCAATGGGTTTCTTTCATCCTAAAATACGGTTCTCATAAACTTCTAAGATTTTTTTTTTTTTTTTTTGACAAATTACTTTAAGCTAGCTATAATGTAATTCTTCATTGTAAATCCAGATGCAGCAGTGTTGTCTGCTCCAGTGCTAATACTTGGCTGGTCTTGCAGTATGTTACGTTGCATTCAGGGATAGAGGTAGTGTTTAAAAAAGCCTGGATCTCCAGAGTTAGTGGATCAGTATACATGAATGAATCTTTAAATGTAGGAAATAAACTTGAATTCAGAAGCATGAATTTTACTATACAGTAAATAACACTGTGACTTTTCTAGTTCCTATAGTTTGCACGGCAGCTTAATTACACAGGGTAGCAAGATGTGCAGCCTTGTGCATACTTTTTTGCTGTTTTTCCAGAGCTAGTCATGATTTAAATGCATGTTTGTTTTGCTCTTCCTGAATAACACTCATGTTGACAGTCACATTGACTTTAGGAGCCTTAAGCCTGATAAAAGGCAGCATTTAGTTTCTGACAAATGGTCCAGAGGGCTGAGTTAGAAAATTTTTACTTTTTAATGTATCCAGGCTAAGCATAGCCCTCTAAAATCATTGTAAACCTGATGCAATTATATGTATTGACATGTGTGGTAAGGACAGTTGCCTGATCATTTGACAGATGTGCTTTGGATGTTCCACCATGGGATGGACATGTTCCTCAGCTGTAACTGAGGAGGTCCAAGACTGGAAAACTGCTGTAGGGTAACATGTCTCCTTTGGCAGGAGAGTGCTGTTGCTTCTTCCCAACTCCAGGTGTAGCAAGTCAAGCTGCTGGCCAGCTGCTTCTCATATAGGCTTCTTAAAAACAGGAAAAATGCAAGGGTGAAAAACTAAATGTGAATCATAAACATGGCAGAAAAACATGAGGGAGAGAGCTAAAGAGAGTCCCTTCTTCTCTGGGTCTTTACAAACCTGGAAAACCCCATACACACGCAATCTCTGTTAGTGCCACTTTTCTCAAGCAGAAATAAAGTGCTGATCAGCAGCTATCATGCCCAAACCAGAGGGAGAGGTATGGAGGATGCTGAACTTAGGCAACAAGTTTCAGGCAACTAAGCAGGGCAACAGTTCTCAAATAGAGTGTTTCTAACTCTTCCTTTCTCTGCCTGACTTCGCCAGCTATCTGTGGACATGGTTGCAAGTACGGCGAGTGCATGGGACCAAACAAATGTAAATGTATCCTTGGATTTACCGGGAAAAGCTGTAATCAAGGTTTGTGCACGTGCGGATATTACTCCAGAAAACAAACTGTTGATGTTCTTTCTCCTTATCTTGTACTGCAGATTGTCTCATTTTCCAAAATTGTAAACCAAGATATTTTCTTGTTTACATAGAAGAACTTAGAGTTTAAGGTTCTTGCAACTCCAGCATCTTAGGCAAGCTCTAGGCCTCCCTTCAGCACACAGAAGTTTGAACCTATATCATTTATCTCCTGCGGGCTAATAACAAGGGCAAACTGTCATGTTTATGGCAGAGGATTAAGGCATGAAGAAGTTATATAGGAAATGATTAGAAGAGATGGAAGTCAAATCCAGAACCAATGTTATTTTCTTAAATAGCAACCCATGTTATTTTCTTAACTAACCTTCGCATCAGAAAGACATGCAATCGTATGCTAGATATGTAATTTCTCAAGCTGCCCGGGCCAATCCATCTGCTTGCATATGTTGATTGGTATTTCTGAGAACCAGAATTGGGAGTCTTTAGAATTGCATATTCAGAAACTTCGAATGCACCGCTTTTCCCACCATAAACTTGCAATTAGACATGGAAATATTCAGCCAACACATTGGTGGGAACTCAGCCTTTTTTTCCTGTTCCAGTATATGAGACCTCTGTGTTGGATTCTATGAAAGGAGCAGGTCACTGTGCATGGAGAGAGTCCAGCCTACTGCAGTGCAGATGGGTGAACTGCAGGGGCTGTGAGGAAAGTGTGACATAAAGGTCACACAAATGGATGGGTCTATCTTTGCTACCTCCATAAGCACCTGCAGCCTTTGCTCAAAACCATTGCATTGACATATACTAAACATGCATTTTTCAGAATCAAAGAAACCCATTTATTACACAATATCTTTCATACAATATGCTATAAAGATACACTGTTAAGTATTTTGTAAAACTCCATCTTTTGCACTTCTGATGTTGCTCACAGGGAAAGAAGTCAATTCCTCAGTACCACTAGGGAGGAAAGTGAAACAGCAGCTGTGGTTGTGTGTAATAGATGTGTAGGTATATAACTTCAGCTTCTAAACCCAGAATTCAACCTCAAAATGATTTCACAGCTTAAATGTTACCAAAAGGCATCAGAGAAGCCCCCAGCTTCTAGGTGTTTTCTGTGCAGTAACTCCGGCTACATTTCATAGACAAGCAGACCAATTCTGTGCACTTGCAGTAGATGCAGAGTCTGAGGTTTGGTGGAAGCACCACACAGACCTACATGAGCAAATTGCCTGTTAGCTCCCTGGGCTGTTTTACCTTCTGAAGCAGGAATTTTTCAGCAAAGTAGTGGCTGGCACAGGCTGGAAATGTCCCAGAGCTATTTCTATAGTATAGCTGTATAAGTGGTCATGTTCCAGCAGCCAGGAATGCTCAGAGCAGCTTTAAATGTACTGGCAGATGCAGCCTTTGTCTGTCAGTACGGCAGAATGCCCTGCTGAGCAAGCTCAACACGAGCTAACTAAAATAACAGAGATAAGGGGGCTGTATTAGTTTGCCCCCAAGTCTGAGCTAAATTTGCCTTATCTCCATAGGTTGTCTTTTAGAGCTATGTGTGCTGTCTGTGCATTATTGTGCGTTGTGCAAGGTGGGTACAGCTACACACTTATGAAAATGTATGGTTTAAGTGGAATACCTTTTCTTTCC